AGGACATTTTTGTAACCTTTTTTCAAACATACGGGACGAAAATAAAAAACGCAATTCGAAGAGGACTAAAATGTTTGGAGGGGTAAACATCCAGGACGAAAAATGCATTTTACTCTTTAAAATATTTTTTCAAAATTTTATTTTAACAGTATATTAGTCCACTTATCTGTTTATATTAATAAAATAATAATTTAACATATATATAATTTTTTACTAAAGAAAATAATAATATTTCTATTAATATTATTTATTGATGTAATTAATTTAATATTATATAAGCAAATTTAATGTTTATTAGATCTATATGGAAGGTAAGATAAAATGGAACGAATAAAAATTGTATAATCCCACCATTTAAGGGAGCATTTAATGCTGCCTAATTTTATGATAAATAAAATTCAAAAAATTTCCTAAAGTGACATGCAGTTAATTTTGACAGATTTTTTTTGTTACTGTTTTGGTAAATTGGTTCTAAATTTCCTAAAGTGACATGCAATTAATTTTGGTATTTTTTTTTTTTACTATTTTGGTAAATTGGTCCTCTATTTATATATATAAATATAAATAAAGATATAGACTCCACTATAAGACATTTTTTTTCCATCAAAAAATAATTATATTAAAGAACTCAAAAGATACAATAGGTTGTCCAACTGAACACAACTCCCTATCCTATTATAACATAAAAGGGGGATAAACGGGGATTACACACACCATACCCTTCTAGTGCCAACATGGCTAGCTTAATGCAAGGATCAAAAAAAGCATCGACATGAAACTTACAACAAGCACACTACTGAATTAATATGGAAATGTCTTCAGCTGTCAGAGCACCCGCCCTATCCACATTTGATGAAAGAGAGCCAGTGTTTAGGGCAGCAACAAGTTCCTTTGAGTCCACATAGCACCTCACTGCATCCCAACCATTCCTCTTAGCAGTATCAAGAGCCCAACTGACAGCTAGTAAGTTAGCCTCCCAGTTGTTGCTAGCCCAACTTCAGCTTTCTTTGGCTTCCATAATCACCTCATCCTGCAATTTTGCTACAAGTCCAGCTCCTGTTTTACCTTCTGAAGAACTGACTTGTATATCAACAAGTCTTACCCTCATGGAAAATTCTTTTAATCAGCAATATCAATAGAGGATCTCTGCTCAATTCCAACAGTCTGATCATTGATACTCAGATCAGATGACTCTACCCAGTCCCTTTTAGCTCATGTCACCACTGCTTGCTCTATAAATTCCTCTCCTCTAATTACTAGATTGTTTATAGCCTTCCACAATCTCCAAAACAGATAAGCAGATAGGGACAATCTCTCCTTCATCTTGGACACTTTATTCCCATTGCACGCCTTCATCCACCACTCGGTTAAGCTGAACTTATCCTCCCCAAAATCCGTCCACTCCACACCAATCATTTTCCAGCATATAGCACTTTTAGGGCATTGACAAAAATAAATTATTTATATTCTCAGGCACCTCTCCACATAGTAAGCAAATTTGGTCCTTAGAAATACCTTTGCTCCTGAGATTGTCTTTGGTGCTGAGAAAGCCCTTCAAAAGTCTCCACATGAAGGTTTTAACCTTTGGTTGTACAGGCAACTTCCATGTCACATCCCACATTCTCTTTACTGTCCTGTCTATGACACTATAGCTGAGGCCTGGAGATGATTCCCTGCAACATGAGTTCAAAAATTTGCATATACAGACTTAATTGAGAAAGCCCCCCTCTTGTCAAAATCCCACACAAATCTATCTGTTTTTCTGAATTGGCTAAGGTGAATTTTGAAGATTTAAGAAGTTGTAAAAGGATCAAAAGTTTGGTTCACAAACTCTGTATTCCACCCCTTGCCATTCTCTAGGAACAACTCACTCACTTTAGACAACCTATTTCTATCCTCGTCAAACATATACTTGGGGGTAAAACCTGGGATTCTGGGAACCCAAGGGGAATTCCAGATCGACACAGTGGAACCGTCACCTATCTGTACCCTCACTCCCCTCCTAAAATTATCCCTAACACCCAATCAACTCTTCCAAAGCCAAGAGTCAGTGCTTCTCTTTTTTACCTCAAACAAATTAGACTCATGGAAATATCTATCTCTCAAAACTTTGGTCAAAAGAAGGTTAGGGTGAGTAAGGATTCTCCATAACTGCTTGGAGATAAGAGCTTCATTGAAAGACACCAAATTCTTGAATCCTAGACCTATTACCCCTCTCCTTGGTCAAATTTTCCCATGAGGCCCTATGTATTCTCTGCTTACCTTCTCCATTTTTTCCCCACAAAATCCCAGCCACTTCTCTGCATATGTCTGAACAAATACATATAGGAAGTTTGAAACATGCCAAAACTTACACTGGAAGTGCATTCAGAATAGTCTGTATCAGAATTGCCTTACCAGCGTCACTCAAAAAACTAATTTTCCAACTAGCCACTATTTGTTTTACTTTTTCCACCACAAATCTAAATGTCTCTCTCCTAGATTTTCCTATCCCAAGAGGTAAGCCTAAGTACTCTTGACTTTTGTTATTGTGTCACAATAAAATCTGACTTGTCAACTTTTTCATTTGAAGGTTTCAATTTTAAGTTATTTTCAATATAAGACCTACTTTACATTATACTTTTCAATTCAAGACGCCAAATTAGTTTGTGTTTTGATATAATTATGTAAACCCCATTACTCTTATTTTTTTTAAGAAAAGTTATTATTAAAATACTTATAATGAAAATATTAAATATCTTTAGTCAACATTTTTCTTTTTTTTTTCTTTTTTTTCATATCTTTAGTAAAATTACCTAATAAAATATTTATTTCATAATTTACCTCTATGCAAAAGCTTAATGAAATTTATTTTAAAAGTTAAAATTAAATTTTAAATTACTTTTAAGATAAAATGAATGTCTATAATAGAATTATTAATTATATTTGTACAACTAGCTTCGGAAGAAAATTAATCCAAATTAATTACATTTATGCAAAATAAATTTAGCTTAAATAAATTAATTTTCTTATTAAAGTAATTTTACTAAATATATTTCTAATTATTTAAAAAAGATTTTTTTTTTAAAAAAAAAGAGCATTGTGGTTTATATAATTATATCAAAATACGAAGTGATTTGGAGTCTTGAATTGGAAAGTAGAATGTAAAAGTAGGTCTTATATTGAGATTAACATAAAATTGAAACCCTCAAATGAAAAGTTGAAAATTCACAATAACAAAAAGTCAAGCCTTACTGTACAATTTTTCCTTATGTATTACACTAGTGTGTATC